TTTAGCCTCTAGCAGCTGATTGCCCCAAATCTCGAACAAAGAGTCATAAAACTCTGAGGCGGGAACTCAGTGGAAAAACTCCAGTAATAAAACTGGAACAAAGGAATGGTCAGGCGAGGCCCAGACCGCAGTTGCTTTGAATGGAAAACTTTTAAAAGTCCAACTTCTAACTCCTGGCTGATTTGGGATCAGCCGGACAAAACATGAACACGCACGACTCAGCAGCACTTGCACAGCAAATCAAAATATAGCTCAGCATAAAACACTTCAATCACTATTGCATGCAACAAGTTGATACCTTAGATTAACTACTGGTGATGCTATATCACCTTAACTATGCCTCATCCTGCCCCGACTTCTAAATGTACCTATCCAATTTAATATAAAAAGAACGAAATTACGCGGATGTTGATTTCTTTCTGCACCGGTTGAGGATGGGTCAGGTCTGAAGAAAAACGAGGGAGGGGGAATCACACGTCCATGATCAACTCATGTTCACCTGCGCCGGGTGTCGGCGTGGTCTTCAATCGTTATATGAATCTTCTGACCTTCTTGTATCAGACAGATTTCCAGCTTTCAAGCTCTTCAGGGAATGGCCTTGTGGAGCAAAAGTTCGCCTGCGAGTTTTTGTCTCTCCAGATATGCGCCTCCGTTGCGTCGTCCCGTGAGACATGCTGGAAATGACAACGAAACTTTATTTCCTGCGGGTTTTACAATCCCGGGTGATGTCAGAGCAGCGATGTCTGTTGAGCTGCGCATGTTCAACTGTGCGACCAAAATGGATGACTCCAGCACCTTTATACCTTAGCGAAACAGTAAGTGATTACTGATTACTAATTCTTTGTTAATTAAAAAAGTAAAGTATAAAAAAATAAAACATCTTGGTTTCATTTATTTTAGATGGATTGTTAGGGGTACAAATAAGTGTTGAACTGCTGCCTTAAGAACTATCGGTTGTCCAATTTAAAGAGACCAACTAACCAAATAGTCATGTTTCTGAACTGTGGGAGGATGATAGAGTACCCATACATACACAGAGAGAACATGTAAACTCCATGCAGCAAGACTCCAGGCCAGTATTCGAACCCAGGACCTTCTTGATGCAAGGCAACAGTACTACCAACTGCACCCACACACTACAGTAGTATAAAGTAGATTTAAATTCTCTAATAAATTAGTGTTTTTACAATGGTCAAGGTTCATTTTAGGTGAAGTAATATCTTGTAAAACTTACACATTGCTTCCTGTCCCCAAAGTAACCAACTGTTAAATTATGTGAAGAAATATGCACATACACAGACACGGCTCTACAAACACAAAAATGATAACATACTTCTACAGAAATATAAATATACAGTGTCAAATTGTCCTTTGTCTGTTCCAATTTCTTTTGCACCATGTTCAGCCATTTTCTCGCTCATTGCACACTTTCTTCTTCTGCTCTACTTGTAAATCATTCTGTCTGCATGAGCTGCAGTTTTATAAATACACTCATGATTAGCATTTTTTTACATACCTGCAGGCATCCATCTCATTTTGTTGTTTTTTTGAATAAATTGGTTGATAACTTGAATAACTCATTACTTCCTCTTGCTTTTTCTAAAGTTTTGTAGAGACTGCCATGGTTTACACCTTGTTTCTCTGATGCAAAACTACAGCAAATAATACTATGACTTGAACATTTTTATTTTTTGAAAGGCATTTAGACAATACCCTTGAATTCATTGGTCAAAGACAGTGCATTGCTGTAAACATATTTGCCCCTTACATATTTCTTCTGCTTTTTTAATCACACTTTCCAATCATGTTTTAGATCAAAGAAAAAAAAAATCAGAATATAGTATAATATACAGGATAGTAAATATAATTGTTAAATCATAAATTAACTGTTTACTGAGGATTCATCAGACCAGGGCACCATCATCCTAGTTCCAGTTCTGACACTGACATAGTTGTGGTCTGGAGTCAGCCCAAGAAACCTGACTAGCCTGCGGCATGATTAAACAAGAGGGACAAACTTAATTAATCACATTTTAGGAAAGTTAAAATAAATTTTACTAGTTATACCTGTCAGGTTCTGTGTTCGAATCGGACCAAAGCGCAGACAAGAGCTTGGGAGCAGCATGTTTGTAAGAGTCTTCAGATTTTATTTCCAGAGGTATTTACAAACACGTAGCGAGTAACTGCAGGTACTACAAAGAATCCAGACAAAAACTTACATGAGAGTACTCTGCAGGAAATTGTAGAGAAAACAGAACCAGGGATAGTGACGGAGGAACCAGCGGGGAACAAACACAGACCAACTAATATACTGAGAGACATGAGAGGGAAACAAAGGGAAGACAATCAAAGAAACAGGGAACATGTGTGACATGGACGCAGGGAGACAGAAGGAGCAGGTGAACCTAATAAGACTGAATACACAAACCAAAATAAAAACATCTAGACAAAATAAACCACAAGAGACCATAAAACAAAAACCAACATGTCACACCGTGACAATACCCAGGTGGGTGTAACCAGTAAAATATGAATTAGATTCTACAGGTCTGGAAATAAACCCCTGGAGACATCACTTGTCTCACTTACAATTGGTATTCATGATTTAACAATAAGGAAAAGACTTTGCAAAAATGGCATCTATAGGAAAGTTCCAAAACCAGTGTTGGCAAAATACAACACATAGGCAAAAAACATCTTAAACCTAACAGACTTAAACAGGCCTTTCAAGCTTGAAAACAGCCTAATGAGTGAATTAAAACAATTCTGCAAACCAGAGAAACCAGAAATTCCCCTGCATGATGTAAAGAAATCCTTCAGTTATTGCCACCAAAACTGGTACAGTTATATTTGGGGCAGCAAACTCTCTTTCAAAAACAACCAAGTTTTTTGTTTTTTTTACAGTATGGCTGCTTGTGTTTACTCAGGTCATTTTTAATTAATATTATCATTCATCTAATGATCTGAAACATTTAATTTCAATAAAAAACTAAAGCATAAACAGAAAAAATCTGAAAAGGGGAAATACTGTTTCATAGCACTGTCAATGAGCTTTTATTTTATTTCCACACTCAAAACATTAGGCCCTTAACCACTTTCAGCTAATTAATGACTGGCTAAAGACAGCTAAAAGCTCTCCTTTCTCTTTTTTTTCCAAACTTACAGAACAGCAATTACACTCCTTTATTAAAACAGGTTCCATGGAAGTCAATGTAGCTCTGGCACTAATCAACTTTCCTTTTTTCCTATGAGGTGAAACCATGTGAAACCTCCCTCACTGGTCATACAAAATGTATATGTTTCATACCTGAGTCAACACTGTTACCAACTGCAGACTGCATCTCTGGAGTGAAACAAGGCTGCTTTTTTTCCTCTCCTTTTTGTGCACACTGGTGGCTTAGATCAGTTTATTGGAAAGTATGTAAATGGTCCTCAATTCAAAACTTTTGGTAATGAGACATCTCAGTCAAAAGTTGACAATGTGATCTTCAGAACTGGACCATGGAAGAAGATGGCCTAGTCAGATGAATCCTGTTTTCTTTTACATCACAGATGACTGGATGTGTATGTGTGTGTCAGTTACTTGGGAACACAAGTAACTGACAAATTAGGACAAACCATAGTGAGAGAACAAACTGTCCAAAGCTGTATGATGCTGTAAGCATTGTTCCACTGGAAAAAAAACAAAAAAACAAAAAAAAGACTTTTGCTGATCATGTGGGTGTTACTTTGACCTGTGCCATCATGTACACCCTATCACAGAAACTGTATTCCCTCATAACTTTGGCCTAGTTTAGTAGAACTAAATTGTTCAGGAATGATTTGTGGAGCACAACAAGTTTGAGGTGTAGACTTAACATTAAAATTCCCCAAATTTCAGTATAATCCAATATCTCTGGAATGCATGGTGGAGCAGTTGGTAGCACTGTTGCCTTGCAGCAAGAAGGTCCTGGAGGTCCTGGGTTCGACTCCCAGCTGGGGGTCTTTGTGCATGGAGTTTACATGTTCTCTCTGTGCATGCGTGTGTTCTCACCGGTTACTCCGGCTTCCTCCTACAGTCCAAAAACATGACTGCTGGGTTAATAGGTCTCTCTAAATTGCCCTTAGGTCTGAATGGGTGTGTGCATGGTTGTTTGTCCTGTATGTCTCTGTGTTGCCCTGCTATGGATTGGCGACCTGTAAGGAACCTGGAAGGCCTTCCTACCTCAAAGACTTAGAGCTCACCAAAGGTCCCACAAACACCAGTGGATACATTCAAACAGCTGGTCGGAAATATTAAAATGGGTTTAAATGCTGTTATGCCAAAAAATACTTTTCAATTGATTATTGGGAAGGGTGTAAATCATTTTCAATGGGTTTTTTTAAAATACAATGTTAATAAAAGCAGAAAAAATATTTATTTTTAATGAATATTTATTTTAAATTGTATAATTATATTTTTAGAGATGCTAGCATTAGCATTCTCCCCAGATGCTATTTCCTCTCAAAAACAAACCTTTTCAATAAAAAAATTTATTAAAATCTAAATCTATCATGAGTATAAAAGACTTTGGGCTTAACTGTGACACAGAAAATGTTATTCAAATATTTCTGACTGGGTTAGATATCACAACCAATACTCAAAATTCAATCTTTATTAAAGAAAAAGTGAGAAGCAAATGAAGAATGACCTAAAAGCTGTTTCATTTGGAGGTGCTTCTTAATAAGTTCTAATGATGTTTTACTATTAAACATAGCAGGGGGAATCTATATTCGTTAATCACCAGACAAGTTCATAATAATCTATAAGTGGATCATGTCTGGACTCTTTGTAAGAGTCTCACCTGATTAACAGCCTTGTTGAAAATACTCCATGCACACTTGAGAAGTTGTTGAACATGAAATATTGAACATTTGGATGTAATGCAATACTTGTGTTGAAATAATCCTAACATTTCTCAGCTCACATTTGAGTTATTAAGAAATGATAATCCTATGTAATAATTGAAATGATGATGTATTATGTTGAATTTACACAGTATTGTTTAGATGCAATATTTACAGTGAAGCTTGCTCTTCCCAAAGAAATGTTAAATAAATTATCCTTGTAAGACTTGTTATCTCACAGTATCATCTGTAAAGTTCCAGCAATGCAATAAAACCTTTAGCTGTCTTATTGTTTTTGTTTTTGTTTTTCAAATTCTTATTGGTAAGTTCTGAGATTCCTCTGTATTGGTGTGGGCACCGTCAGGACATGAGGGGGCCAGTTGGGTAGCTGGATACCATCTTGAGATATCATTTTTGTAGAGTAAAACTGCCCTGGTACACGTAGGCAACCAGCTTCTCTATATGGGATGCTTGAAATGCCGCAGCAAGACATAAAAAAAAATTATTTTTTGAGATACATTTCTGCAGAATGACTGTAAAGAAAGAGAAAGCAGATCTAAACCATATTATATCCATTATTTCAGTCAAGCCACAGTAACAAATAGCATTAATTGTTTATGTTAGCTCAACCTGGAAGTATATAGTCTGTATATATATA